GAAAATTAGCGATTTTTAAATTTGTAATTTTTTTGGATATTTCCCCCATTTGCGGGGAACGAGGGAATTTTTTTCAATTTTTAAGGGTAATGTCTTCAACTAGATACGATTTGTGATCTTTTGACGTATTTTTGAAAGAAATCGGTCCAGTGAGAGCTGAGAAAAAGTGGCAACAGACACACAAAAAAAAAAAAAACACATCATAGTAAAATTAATACCTTCTCCGCTTCGCATCGAAGCTAAAATATTCAATAGATAAAATAAAACTTTTGATTTAGTATTTTATAAGATTTTAGCACTTTTATACTAGGATAGGAAAACTAGGTTATTCAAAAATGTCAAGATGAAAAATAACCAGATCCACTTTTTATCTACAGTATTTTTTTTCAAATGTTAATAACTACCAAACTATTTTTTCTCAATCTGTCGCTCAAACAATCATACTCGTACACATAAATTTTGTGATTTTTCAAAAGAATTATTCCTGTAATGTAAGAGAATATTTCCAGTTCTCGGAAATGTTTCTTGTAGAATATTTTTTGTGGCACATTACTAGGAACCGTATGTTTTATTAATTGAGCAGTCTATTATTACAATAAAATTGTAACTTTTAACTTAAATTTTTGGTAATGTTGTTTGATTAGATGTATTGCTCTAAAAGAATAAATTATTTATAAGCTATATAAGACCGCAAAAAGTTGGATAATTTGTTAATATAATTTGTTAAATTTTAAAGTTAAAATGAGTGAATACTATTCATTATACATAAACATACTTCTCAAACACCTGCATTTCCATAACGCATTTCTTTTTAATGTAAAAGACTCTATTTTATTTATTGTATCAAAACCTGCACTATCGGTAAATTGTCTTTTTTCATTATAATCGACAATTTCAACATTTTTGACACCAAAAATTATTGTAAAATCTAGATTTATTGAATCAACTTGCATCCATGGGGCGTACAAATAAATTATGTCATATTTAGAAATTTTTTTTGACAATTTATCCAACACAACAATAATCTGTATACCGATTTTTTCTAAAAAAAAAAATAAATAAAAAATGTATTCAATTTTAATAATTTAACTTTAACTAAATATTAAATTTATATTAACCAAATTTATACTCAGTGCAAAGTAATACAATCTTTCTAAATTCCATTAATACATCAATTACTTTATATAAAATAGTGTTACTTAATGGTCGACAAAACATATTCGTTTGCTTTTCAAAATTTTCAATGCACATTTCAGATTTTTTATGATTTAATAGTTCACAAAATTTTCCTTTATATCCTGTTTTACTAAAAAAAAAAAAATATATATATTTTTGGAATTAAATTTAGTATTAATATAATTTGTTTTATAGTAGAACCGGGTTTGCAAAGACAATAACTATAATATTTACACTCCTTCAACGGATTTTGGAACTCTGAAAAATTAATAATTAATTTATTTTTAATTATTAAAAATTTCGAAAATTCAAAAAATCTTCAAGTAAATAAAATTGTGTTTTCTTATTTTTTTCAGCTAGAAAATTTATTAAATTTCCTTACCATAACTTTTTTTTTTTTTTTGCCGAATCAAATTGAGTAGGTGATGGACTTTTATTATTTTTAAAGTTGTAGTTAAATTTTGGTGTAGAAAAATTATTGTTCTCAAAATAAGTTGGCGGAGATTCCAACAAATCAATCTAAAATTTAAAAAATTGGAGTTCAAAGTAAAATAAAATCAATTAATTAAAAAAAAAAGTGCGATTAAATTTACTTTATAAAATAATTTAGCTTTATCCTCAGATTCAAATGACAATGATGTACTTGGAATGGTAACATCTAATGAATTTATAGAAAAATATTTTTGAGAAAATCCATTGCTAAAAACTTGATTACTTTTATCAGATTTAGGAGAATTACATACTTCAATAATTGGAATATATTTCTGAGAAAAATTAGGAGGCGAATATTCAATTATTTCGGTAACATTTTCATTCATTTTCCTCGTACAAATATTTGAATTATTTAAAATTTTGTTAGAATTATTTTCATGCGTAGGTAAAATATCGTTAGTAAATTTAATGCTGCATCCTTTAATAATTGCATTATTTATTGCATTTTTATACATTAAAGATTTATGAATTATTGGAGTTGAATAAATATTTCTTAATTTCTTTTTATTATATATTTTTGTAATTGTCTTCAATTTCAAATTTTCTTTTTGAGTATTTATGGGCTCAATTTCATTTGTTCTCATCACATTTTCAAATGTAAACTTTGAACGATTTGACATAATAAGTGGTGATTTAGGACTTAATAATGGCCATAAATCCACGGTTTTAAAAGTTGAGGATATAATTTTAGAGTTATTATTTAGTTGATTAAGATTAGACTGTATTCTAGGTGATTTTTCACGTTTATCAGGAGTTAGATTATTCTCACTTTTAAAGGTTTTCATATTTTTATTAATTTTTAATTTTTGAAAACTTTGTCTAAATAGTATTTCTTTTTTTGTTTCTGTGAACAATAATTTCCTTTTTGCCTTAAAATGATTATTCATTGATTCGAATTTTACATTTTTACTGCACCTATTTAAAACCTTAGATTTTGATTCTTTTCTTTTTACCAATCCGATATTTTCTAGATTGATAATTTTATAATCTGATAAACTACCAGTTAGTCTACATTTGCTATTATCCCTTTTCCAAATTACTTCTAGAGGTTCACTATTAATATTTTTTTCAGTCATATTTTTTAATAATGAAGATCTTTGTATAAAAACTTGAATAACAAATGAATATATAGACCACACCTTAAATAATAAAATATTTTAGTATATTCTAATAAATAAAGTTATCTTTTTTTTTTTTTTTTGATCATCTAGACTGATAACTATNTAAGTATATAATGATTTTTGATCATCTAGACTGATAACTATCTATGATAGTTTAATATAAAATACCTAATATTAATCAAGTAAATACTTAAAACTGTGGTAAGAAATGCATAGTGTAGTATCATATTCACCATCAATAATATCTTAATTAATTTTTTTAGAAGTGGTTTATTTTTAATATGGTGATACTAATTTAGGATTAATATCTGTTGGGCTACTTTACTGTCTTTCCATATCTAATCAACTCTCTTTTTCATTGTCCTGATGAAACCACAAATTTTGCTGATAACCCATTATAATAAAGACTTAATTATTCATCTGTATTCCCCATTCTCTTGCAAAGTATTGAATTAACAACTATTAAATGAAATAATATCACCTAGATTTCACTCAAAACTTAATATAAACACAAGCCATTTAATTAGAAAATGTACACAACTTTAATACCACACAACCCATCACGTAGACTCTAACGTAAATAGAACCGAGACCTATTGATTTAACAAATTAACGACAACAATAAAACCATAACTTGAATACAGCTTTAACAAAAACTAATGGAGGTGTTAACAATGGGTGTCTTCATTTAACGCTTTGTAATTGAATAAGTCAACAAAAACTTATTGTAAATTTTATGCACAAATTGTTTTTTTTAATAAAAGAAAAAAATGTATTATCACTCATTAATGTAGTAGGAATATCAAGTATTGTAAATACCTCTTTAAATTTTACAATCGCTTCCTGTGTTGTTTAGTATTTCAATAAAATCATATCGACTCATCTTGAAAAATAATCAACTATCACTAAGTAATCTTTAACACAATATCAACACCAATATTTTCAAATTTGACTATAAACCTAGCCACAGAATGAATTCAAAAAAGAAATTTTTGTCACAAGTTAATACCGAATAGTAACTATCAAACTATAGTTTTTTTAAATATTTGATAGTTTAAGCTAAAAAGAAATTATTCGGTTATATAAAAACAATTTGAATAGAATGAAATATTTGATATTTACTTTTTACATGTACGTTTCCAAATTTCATTAATAATTTTTTATTTAAAACTCTTGAACAAATTATCACTTATAACTGCTATAATGCATTTGAAAATGAACAAATTAAAATAATTTTTTTTTTATATTGAAACCTTAGATATTTTTCATTCATTTGATATACATATTTTGAAAATTTGACTGTAAACCTAGCCACAGGGGGGATTCAAAAAAGCAATTTTTGCCACAAGTTAAGCTTTTTCAATTTAATTTTTGTAAATGTTACTGATATATTGACACTTTTTTTTAATCTTAAATTAAAGATTTTTATGTAAAAACCAAACAAATAACTCCTTAATTTAGCAAGTATTACTTTATTTCCACGGTACACTAATTTATCCTCTAAAACAATTTCAGATGTTATTTTAAAGAAATTACCCTTTCTCCTTTTAGATATTTAGGCCATCCATTCAAATAATATTTTTTTGCTCTTTTTAGTACTATATAAAAGATCGCAAATCGTTTCTAGTCGAAGACATTACCCTCAAAGATTGAAAAAGTTTACTTTTTTTATAGATACAATAGGTATTAACTAATCCTTTGGTAAATATTATTTAGCTTTAATACGAAATGAGAAGGTATTAATTTTACCATGATATGGTTATTACATGATATTAAAGCTTATGTCATGTACTATAAAATGAAAAAAAAAATTTATCCCGACACCATATCTTCTACGTGCAAACAGCTGCCATAGTTAAAAAATGCTATTTTTGAGTTAAAATTTTCAAATTGAAATTGCTATAACTTTTTGCAAAATGTATGTATTAACAAAACATTTTTTTTTTTAAATACATTATATATACTTATTAATTTTTGAAAATGTTCCGGAAATATTGACACTTTTATTTAATCTTAAATTAAAGCTTATATTATATAATTTACTATGAAAAAAAAAAAATTCGAAATATAGATTTTTTTTGGTAAAAATGGCTACCGTATTAAAAAATATTCTATTTTAGTGTTAAAATTCTGGATTTTGATTTTTATTTTATTTTAAAATATCTTACAAAGAGAATACACTGAATTTCATAAATACCAAGATGTGTTTTTTTTTTGTCTGTTGCCACTATCTCAGTTCTTACTGGACCGATTTCTTTCAACAATACGTCAAAAGATCACAAATTGTTAAAGACATAATCCCCAAAAATTGAAAAAATTTCCCTCGTTCCTTGTAAATTAGGGAAATCTCCAAAAAATTACAAATTTATAATTGTCATACTTAAAATTACGATAACTTTTTTAAAAATTACTAAAATAATATAATTTTTTTTATTGATGCATAAGGTACTTACCTATAATTTTGTAAATTTTTTTTATAAATGTTGCCCTCGTTCCCTTTTAATAATGAAAATCTCCCGATTTTTATTATTAAAATAATAAAAATTACAATTTTTAGAATCGGTAAATTCCGACAATTTTTAAACTTTTTTTTTTAAATATTGCCATAACTTATTGAAAAATGAACAAATCAAAATAATTATTTTTTATATTGAAACCATAGATATTTTTCTTTCATTTGTTATAAATTTTTTGATAATCTGACACTTTATCTGCCCACAGAAGGGGATTCAAAATAGCAACTTCTGCACAAAAATTTAACTTTTTCAACTTAAGTTTTGATAATGTTCCGCAAATTCTTCGAGCTTCAAACATATGTTAAAATAAAGCTTTTGTTATGTACTTATAAATTTAAAAAAAATAAACACATCATGGTAAAATTAATCAGCTTCGCATCGAAGCTAAAAAAAATTTATCCCGGCAATATATCTTCTACTTGCAAATAGCTGCTGTAGTTAAAAACATGCTAATTTTGTATTCAATTTTTTATTTTAAAATACTTATACAAGTATTTTAGTACTTTATAAGGGTTTGCCATAGTAATGAGTCCAACAGTTTTTATAAAATTTACATGAATCCGACTTACATTAAATATAATTTTATACTTATTTTGATTACTTAACCTCATCAAAATTATGAAAAGCTGCTTTGAATTTTTAAACTTTCTTAAATTGACTGCGTATAATATAATACAGTTTTATACAGTTGGGTACAAAGTTTAAACCGCATTTGTCAGACTAATTTTTTTGCGTTTTTTCTTAATCCTTTTTTTGAGATGAATAAATATTCAAAGTTCATTTTAATTTAATAAATATCAAGGATTCCTCACTGTAGTCTCACCTCTTGAGAAAAAAATTCTTATTCATGTTAAAATATTTTACTATATGATTTTTTTTGTGATTGTCAATGAACAGTTTTTTTAAATAGTTCGTCAAAAGATCCCAAATCGTATCTAGTCGAAGACATTACCCTCAAAAATTGAAAAAAATTCCCTCGTTCCCCGTAAACGGGGAAAATCCCCCAGAGAAATAAAAAATTTAAAAATCACTAATTTTCGAAATGATTTGAATTATTTTTACTTAAAATTACCATAACTTTTTTAAAAATAATCAAATCTACATAATTTTTTTTTTATAGATGCATAATGTCTTTACTTATCATTTTTTTATTTTTAACTATGTTTCGAGGGGTGTGGAGTTAGTTTTGTTTTGGTTAACTAATTAATAAATTAATAATTATTTCATATGAGTACTGCTCATTACCCTTTTAGCTTCGATGCGAAACTGAGAAGATATTAGTTTTATTATGATGTTCTTTTTTTTTTTTTTGTGTCTGTTACCACTTTTTCTCAGCTCCCACCGAACCGATATCTTTCAATGATAAAACGTTAAAATATCACAAATCGTATCGATTGTATAAGTATATTACATTAGCTTTAATTTAAGATATATATAAAAGTGTCAGTATTTCCAGAACACTTTCAAAAGTTAAGTTGAAAAAGTTAATTTTTTGTGAAAAAGTTGTCATTTTGAATCCCCCTCTGTGAGCTGTTAAAGGGTCAGATATAAAAAAAATATATACCAAATGAAAGGTAATGATATCATGCATCTATATAAAAAAAGAATTACAATGATTTGGTTATTTTTAAAAAAGTTATAGCAATTTTAATTTAAAAAAATTTCGAAAATTAGCGATTTTTAAATTTGTAATTTTTTTGGAGGTTTCCCCCATTTACGGGGAACGAGGGAATTTTTTCAATTTTTAAGGGTAATGTCTTCGACTAGATACGATTTGTGATCTTTTGACGTATCATTGAAAGAAATCGGTTCGGTGAGAGCTGAGAAAGAGTGGTAACAGACACAAAAAAAAAAACACGTCATAGTAAAATTAATACTTTTCAGCTTCGCATCGAAGCTAAAAATTAGATTTATTTTATTATAATGTATTGGTAATCATTAGTTAAAAACTTCACTTTAGTCTTTGATTTTGGTAAGTAAGAAAAATTGTGAATTTAAAATATATTGTCTAAATTAGGGATTTTTTTCAATTTTTGAGGGTAATGTCTTCGACTAGAAACGATTTGCGATCTTTTATATAGTACTAAAAAGAGCAAAAAAATATTATTTGAATGGATGGCCTAAATATCTAAAAGGAGAAAGGGTAATTTCTTTAAAATAACATCTGAAATTGTTTTAGAGGATAAATTAGTGTACCGTGGAAATAAAGTAATACTTGCTAAATTAAGGAGTTATTTGTTTGGTTTTTACATAAAAATCTTTAATTTAAGATTAAAAAAAAGTGTCAATATATCAGTAACATTTACAAAAATTAAATTGAAAAAGCTTAACTTGTGGCAAAAATTGCTTTTTTGAATCCCCCCTGTGGCTAGGTTTACAGTCAAATTTTCAAAATATGTATATCAAATGAATGAAAAATATCTAAGGTTTCAATATAAAAAAAAAATTATTTTAATTTGTTCATTTTCAAATGCATTATAGCAGTTATAAGTGATAATTTGTTCAAGAGTTTTAAATAAAAAATTATTAATGAAATTTGGAAACGTACATGTAAAAAGTAAATATCAAATATTTCATTCTATTCAAATTGTTTTTATATAACCGAATAATTTCTTTTTAGCTTAAACTATCAAATATTTAAAAAAACTATAGTTTGATAGTTACTATTCGGTATTTTAATTTACTAGTAAAAAGAGAATTTGATTGCAAATAAGTATATAATGATATTTAAGTAATTAAAAGCACTAAATTGTACTTAACTACCCAAAAAAGAACAAAATGCTATTAGAATGACTAAAAAGTTGTAAAAATGCATTTATTCAAAAATCATTTAAAAATGTATTAATATATTTTATACGTAAATTCATATGAATCATATTTTGAATTTAACGAGCTATGCAGTAGAGTAACCAGAAAAAAGATGCAAATATTACAAACTCCTACCCTTATATAGAATTAACCAATACCATGTTATAACTATCCTACAATAAATGACTTTAACAATATTGACAATAATTATTATCATTTATAACAGATAACCTTTGTAAATTAGTTATACATAATTATTTCTACGAGTTAACTCATATACACCTAGTTTATTTAATAAGTTTACTCCACATATTTAACTAGATTTATACAAATGTATAATGTATTGTTAATCCTAATAAAATAACTCAAGGTATATAATTTTTAAATGGTTCAAAAGAATAAGATATTCTCTATAATCGTCGAATATATTCTATGAACTATAATCGTTACATAAATTAGGCACATATTTAATAACAAAAAGACAAGAGGTCAAGGCGAATACTGTTAACAGGTTAACGCCATTTCTATAATTATTAGCATAACAATACACAGGGTGTTCAATAAGTACAAAGACAGGTTAATTGTTACGAACAATGAGAGCAATGAAAATATTTTTCCTTGCTTATTAAACACACCTATAACCATTTACATTAAAGTGTTTTTCACTCGATACATAGACACATGGGTTCTAATAGTTCAATTTACTTACAGGACATTTATAAATATATAACTTTTTGTATGGAGAAGTTTTATTTTTCTTTAACTTGTTATTATATATAGTCTGATGAATTATATGGTCTTTTTTTCTGAACTAGGATATGATTAAATTTGGGCCACTTTTGATAACAAATCGTTAACATTAAGTAAATTAAATTATTCAATATGTTCACCATTATTATTTTATAATGTAAAATAAAATTTTATGTTTACGATTTTAAATTTATTATGGGCCATATCAAACTCCCTTGGAGTAGTTACCTAATCTAATTTTTTCTGAAAAATAAGTAATAAATAAATAGAAAAAAGTCCACTTCTGGCAAGAGGAATTGTAACTTCAATTACAGAGGAATTACAATTAATCATATATGACGTCTTTATTATTATGAAATTTAGTACATATAATACTTAATCAAATTGGGTAGACTTCACTAAATGTGAATGGTAGTTATTACCTTGAAATATACTTAAGTAAAGGTATAAAATATAAATATTCTAGTTAAGTCAATAAATAAGAATTAACAAATTGAATTTTTCATTCAATCAAATTTAATTTTTTAACCAGTTTATTAATATTTTATATTAACAATTTTCTTAAGGTCAGCCTGGCTTAGTGGATAGAAATCTTTAGATTGAAAAATCTAATGATTCATAAATTATGTAGATTTTCCAAGTGAATAAAAAAAAAGTGAGTTTAGTTTTAAGTCAAATTTAAAATTAAGTTTGTGTTTATAAGAAAAGTTCTACTTTAACTTTTTGTAATATAAACATGGCAGTGTGGTTTTAGGAGGAGGAGAAAAGCATTTTTTTTTTATTTTACAATAAAATTTACTTGTGATGAAGTTTTTTTTTTGCACAAATTTTTTTAAAATAGTTTAAAAATAAAACTAGATAATTTCAGTTATGTCGGTGGGAGGAACTACAGATCCCTCAGAATTTTAGATACGCCACTGACATGATGTAGATGAAAATAAAAGAAGAAAACAAACTTAATAGATAATTAACAATTTATATTGACAAGCTGTCAATATAAATAAATAAGCTGTCGGGGATTAATTGCCGGAAAGTGTATCCGGTAATCATCTGAAATAAGAAACAAGATACAGGATAAGAAGTCGCAATCCAAGGCGTCGTAGAGACAAACCTTACCACAACGCAATTGTATATTTAAGATTCAGATTTCGAACACTTTCATATAGGTTGATGGAAACACAGTACCATATCATTGTAAATATCTTGTAAATAATTGTGTAGTAATTTCTTTAACGTAAGTCTAAGTAATAATATAGTAAAATTTATGTAGTTAATAATAAACAATTAAATTTAACTCACGCATAGACTACATGGATAATAACACTATAATAATATTAGGTTAATAAAATAATTATACAGCGCAGTGCAGCGGCAAGAATTATTGAAGAATAGTGGGTACCGTTAGAATATACAGAAACAAATCAGTACATGTCTTGTTTAGTTATATATACGACGTTGCAACCTTATTTTTAGTATTAAACATAACTACACGAGATTAATTATTATTGTTTAATATATTAATTGAATTTATATATTTTTAACACTTATAGCAATCATGTGTTTAATAATTACTCTTGTCAACTTTGAACTTTATATTATTCTAGTACTAACAGGTCTAATCACAGTGTATTTCACATTTATTAATTGGACTAATTTAAGAAGAATATTTAAAACCCTTCCAAGGGATACTAAGTAAGTGACGCATTTTTTAACAACTAAAAATAATCTAAAATCAGTTTACATTTTAAAATTTATTTCTTTCTAAATTAAATATTTTTCAATATATGATTAGGGGCGTGAATTAAAGTTAGTATTATTTAAGAATATAATTAAGTAGTACTATTTAAGATATATAATAAATCACAATTTATAATATTCTATTGTAACTGAAGAAGCAAGATACTCATTAATTATTATAAATTGTATTCATAAAAAAAAATTTGACAATATCAAATATTTTGTCTTTTCTTATCACATTGATTCACGATTATTATAGGGTTGGGTCGGGTGAATTAAATGAATTATAAAAAAATGTTATTGCCAAGCAGATATTCATATTTTAGAATCACCTAATTTATGTTTTTAATGTTTATAGAATAATAAAAGACTTTATAACATATTTTGCAAAAATAAGAATACTCAAATTAAGAGGTTACGATACATATGCTAAAATATTTAAAACTTTAGTTATAAAACATCCAAATAAAATTGCATTCAAGCATGAGGATTCAACATGGACATTTCAAGAGGTGAATTAAACATTAAATTTTAAATGACTATGCATTAAATAAAACAAAGTTTTATACCGACGACTTTTTCTTTTTGAAACATCAAAACGGTTATGTTTACTATAACACTGAATTTAGTGTTGATAATTCTATCATGCTCGAGTAAAATACCCGACGATTAAAATTAAAAAATTAGAAAAAGTTTTAACATATTTATAAGTTAATCAAATTATAAATTTCCATAGATGGAAACTTATAATTTAATTATTTTTAAATTTTTCCTATAAAAAGAAGTACACCGTCATTAATAATTCATCTTCATCTATAATGTTCATGGAATTTTTATTGGAACTGTACATTTGAACACCATGTATATTTGTAACGATTAATTCTAGTTTATATCAATAATCTAATGAACTAAGTAATTATCTGTTGTCAATGGTTTTTTAATGAATATCTGAATTAATATCGAGTTAATGTTGCCTAATTTAGACAATATATTTTAAATTCACAATTTTTCTTACTTACCAAAATCAAAGACTAAAGTGAAGTTTTTAACTAATGATTACCAATACATTATAATAAAATAAATCTAATTTTTAGCTTCGATGCGAAGCTGGAAAGTATTAATTTTAGTATGATGTGTTTTTTTTTTGTGTCTGTTACCACTCTTTCTCAGCTCTCACCGAACCGATTTTTTTCAATGATAGGTCAAAAGATCACAAATCGTATCTAGTCGCAGATATTACCCTCAAAAATTGAAAAAAATTCCCTCGTTCCCCGTAAATGGGAGAAACCTCCAAAAAAATTACAAATTTAAAAATAGCTAATTTTTGAAATTTTTTCAATTTTTTTTACTTAAAATTGCTATAACTTTTTTAAAAATAACCAAATCATTGTAATTTTTTTTTTATATAGATGCATGATATCATTACCTTTCATTTGGTATATATTTTTTTTATATCTGACCCTTTAACAGCTCACAGAGGGGGATTCAAAATGACAACTTTTTCACAAAAAATTAACTTTTTCAACTTAACTTTTGAAAGTGTTCTGGAAATACTGACACTTTTATATATATCTTAAATTAAAGCTAATGTAATATACTTTAATTTGAAAAAAAAAAATTTGACTTCTGGACTTGTCTTCATGGTGAAAATGGCTACCAAATTCTATTACTGTGTGAAAATTCTCGATTTTATTTTTTACATTTTTAACTTTATAATGCTATGACATATTGAAAAGTGTATGGATCAACATTATTTTTTTATTAGAAATAATATTTTTTAATAATCCTTTTTTCATTCGACATACTTTATCTTAATTAGGATATTAATAATGAACTAGCAGATCATGTAGCTTTTGGAATAATCCACCAATTTTTTAAAATTAAACACTATCTAAAGATTTGCATCGAAACGTTTTTTTTTGATAGTGATTTTAATCACTGTCAGATATCATTATACTTGATCCATCTATACCACGTCACCACTGTGCCGCGACCCCTCTGTGCTGGGTTTTTTTTTTTAACAATTAAGTTTTAATTATGTAATCTAAGATGAAACAAAATATTTTCAATTGACTGGGTTAAAAGTTCATTTTATACCAATTATAACTAATTTAAAGAAGAAATAGCAATTTTTTTTATGATTCTTATGTTTAACGCCCTTTTTAGAAAAACAGAGAACAATAAAAAACCTTCAGCTCATTCAGAACGATTCCATTGCACAATGGAATCGTTCTTATACACCGAGGCATAGTATTTTATCAACTGAGCTAAGTAAGCCATCTAAATTCAAGATTGAAAAAAATCAAACTATCCATACTAAATTGTTGCTCATATATGTAGACATCATTTTAATGCTGTTTTACATTTGTAACTTAAGTTGCTTTTCTAAATATTGAAAATGGTATAAATTAGAAGATTATATGTGGTTTTCAATACAAATCAGCATTATGACTGATGTATTATGATAAACAACATTTATTACTATCAATATATTATTATAAAAAATATAGTACTATAAAAATTTAATATCTTAAAACTATCTTTAAGTATATTTGAACTGAAGTGTTTCTTCTTTTTCTTTGCCTTAATCCCAATTACTTGGGCTTGACCACCCTTATTCTAAACTTACACCTGTCTCAATCTCCCACATCTTCTACGCTCACATCAGCTGTCCTCATATCACATTCAATAATACTCCTCTATTTCTTTTATGGTCTTCCTCTATTTCTTCTTCTTTCAACATTCATTTCCATAACTGTTTTTATAGCTTCCAATTCCTTTCTCCTCATAACATCTAAACCATCTAAGTCTATTTTCTCTTATCTTATCCACAATCAACGTTATATACTTTCTCTTATACGTTTTCTCCACTCTCAAGAACCCATTTAGATAGAAACATAAAATATTGCAAATAGGTAGTCTTCATGGTGTATATAAAAGAAAAATTTCCTTCAAGAGCTGATCTCTACACCTATAACCTTTGATTAATTTCTTTCCTATTTTCTCCTATTAACAGTATATTATCAGCAAACAACAGGCACCACAGTATCTCTCCTTGTATTTCTCTAGAAATTTTATCCATCACTACAGAAAATATGTAAGGGCTTAATGTAGAACCTTGGTACACTCCAAATCTAACCCTAAAACCTTCTGTTACTTCACCCACACTCTTTACCCTAATACAAATGCCATCATACATAACCTCTATTATATTAATGTACCATTTTAAAACATCTCTCGGTACTCTATCATACACAGCTTTTTATTCTTTTCCCTATACTTTTCTATTAGTTATCTAACATAAAAAATTTACTCTATCGTTGACTCTCCAAACAAAAAACCAAACTGGTTCTTTGTTACTAATGTTAGTTTTAGTTATTAGTGAGGTGGACTTAATGCCCATGAACTCAGATCTGTTAGTCCATTGTGCACACCTCAACGGAATTGTCTTAAATCAGTCTACCAGTTTAGGGCACATACAAGATCAGAGTTTTAATCATTGAAGTGTAACTGATGTTTCTCCTGTTATTCTTTTGTCTATTACCTTTTCCCAAATTTTCATACTAAGAGTCATAAGCTTTATGTTTCTATAATTTCCATATTCCTGTATGTCTCCTTTGCATTTAAATATCAGCACCACAGTACTATTCTTCCATTCTTTTGGCATTTTTTGATTCGTTTATGATATGTAATTTAATTACTGTCAGAATTCAAGTTATATTAGTTTATACAATGCCTTATCTCCACTATGCTGTTACCCAACAGTACCGTGTATTTTAAACATATCATTACTTTTTTAATTTTAATAGCCTATTTGATTATTCAAAGATTATTTTTTTATTTTTGGTTGTTCGAGTGGTTGTATATTAGATTATACAGGTAGTATAACTGTTTACTTTTTAGTTTTAACTTAAACTTCAGACTTGACATGACTTGAACAATAAAAAAATAAAATAATAATCCTTTAAAAATAAAATGGGTACTAATATGTTTAATATTAGTACAGTTGGGAAAGGGCAAAGTGAAGATAATAAAAACTAGCATAATTTTAAATCTGATAGTACCTAATATTTTTTATATTATCACTAAAAATCACCAAAAAAAAGCTTTAACCACTCTTTTAAGCTTTTTAACATCAATTTATTTTTAGTTATTAAATCTTTGCTCTTTGTGTAAAAAATAGTTCCGACCTCTACATTAAATTTTAAGGTAAGGTACCAAACCAAAAAATGTTAACATTATTTTATAATGTTAAAAAAAAAAAGCTATGAAAAAGTGTTATCAGCTAACCATTCATGGTGAACTGTTAAAATTTTTTTTGTTATTTATTATTTTTCTACCTTATAACAACTTTTACACGTGATCTATGAAAATAATTAGTTCATTAATCAATTTAACAATTTTATAATGCTCTAAATTAGAGGTTATTATTCTAAAAATGTGCTAGTACTAATAGCATATCATGCTATTAAAAGTATTTGATTAAAATTAAACTTTACCAGATTATTTTTAGTTAAAAATTATTTATTTTTTTAGGTAGAGAACTACAGTAATAAAATAGCAAATTATTTTAAAGAAAAAGGTTTTAAACGAGGTGATAGTGTAGCATTATTTATGGAAAGCTGTCCAGAATATGTTAGCATTTGGTTAGGTTTATCAAAAATTGGTGTTGTAGTTGCATTAATTAATAGTAATCTACAATATGAAACATTATTGCATTCAATAAAAGTATCAAATTGTAAAACAATTATTACAGACACGGGACACATTGATAGTAAGTTAAAAATTCTTTGCTTATGAATGATAAAATTTGAATTTATAAAAACATTTTTTTTCATTTTTGTTATTTTATATTTTTAGCCCCAATTAGATCATTAAGAATTTAAATTTCATATTTATTATTATTATTCTTTAACAAATGGTGTATATTTTTTTTTTAACAGTAGCAAATTTTTATCAATTAAGTACAAAGTTTAAATTATTTTAAGCTTAAATAAACTAATTCAAAAAATTATTAAAATTGTTCATAAAAATAAAAACAGCATAGTTAGTCATGTATAAAAGATATCTTATATTGATTAACACTACCATCATAAAAATTTAATGCAAATCTGTTAAATTTTTTATTAAGATAATTCATTTTTAAGTCAAATAACTAAAAAATTAAAAATAAAGTAATTTTTTTGTGAAAATTGAAAATTTTTTACTTTGATGGACAATTTCTCAAAGTTAAACGAATGTCTGACAAAAAGTTATTATTATTATTTTTCAAATACTTTAATTTGATGTTAAATAATTTAAAATCCCAGAATATTAGCAAAAATTGTGTTGACAAAAAAATGTTTACCTGTGTAGTCTTTTACAAACTTTACATATACTGAGGTTTTTCATTGAATTTTATAAAAAGTATTTTAAAACAAGTTTATTATCATTGTTATTGTTCATATAAATTTCATTTGGATCAGTGTTTTTAAAATATTTTATAGAAGTTTTAAAATATAAAGAAAAAAACTATTTAATTGCCATTATTTTTAAGGTAGCATAATTTTTAAATATATATTTTTATTTCTTAATTTGAGAGATTTTTAAAGTTTTTGGTGTTCATAGGTTTAACTAGATTAAAATCGGGTTCTTTTGATGCATAGATCAACAAAATTGGTCATGTGAAAGCTAGGAATTTTCATAGACAGTCTAAAAGAAAATACATGGTAAAACAATACCCTCTCACAGCTTTACATCAAAGCTAAAATTAATGATGAGAAATTGATCTTTTTAAAATAGTTTTTAAAGAGTTATTCTGTCTTTTTTAAAAATTGAAAACCATGCCATTTATTCTACGATTGATTAAAAATTCCCTGAAGTATTTATAATAAATTTATGAAAATTGAGCAAAATGTTTATTTAAATTAAGCACATGAGTTCTAACAGTAGATGATAAAGATCACAAAAAAAAATTGTATAGGTTGTCTTTTAAATTTTCTTAAGTTGTTTTAAAAATATACATAGACTTATCAAAAACTATCTACTTTAAACTAAAGTATAATAAAGTACATTGTAAATGTTAAGATTTTTAGATAGTTATTTTAACAAAGTGTCCCTAAGAATAAGGATTAAACATAAAACTAATAGAACTGCATGCTTTTAACTATTAAATACCTAAATTGCTTAAAACTAATAATATTTTTTATTCATTATTACAATGTTAATAAATAAAAAGTGAAGTTCATACAAAAACTTATATTGGAGGCATACAATACATGAATATAATCATGTTTGGATGTACCTTATTTTTGGTTATTAATAAGAAATTTTCTTTCTAGATTTTTATTTTATATGAAGAAAAAAAATTAGCTTAATTAGTAAACAAATTTTACTTGAACTCTAACTAAAGATGTCTATCTAGTTACAGAGGATGAGTTCAGTTTCAATCAGGGGGTTTTTTTAGGTCAGGGTGTCAGTATGTGTTTAGTGTTAATAATGGTAACATTGTTTTTGAAATACGTATCCGTGACTTTTTAGTAAATTTTTTTTTTTGGTCATTTTGAGTTTAATATTTTTAATATATTTTAGTTTTTAAGAAATAATATTATTAATATAATTTTAATTTTAAATAATATTAGCCACAAGTTATTAATTTTTATTATATAAATAATTTTTTATAATTGAAAATTAATTCACATTATAACATTAAAACTATTCTAGTTAGTAATTTACCCATTATATCAGAATAAATTAAAATAATAGAATGTTTATTTACGAAAATAAAATATTTTAATTATAAGATCCACGTTTATAGGAAAAATTAACAGAAAATTCCTATTTCTACTAGCTATTTTACGATACTCAATTTAACTATAAACATAATAAATAACATTCAGAGCTGTATTTTATATATTAGATTAGGTTTAGCAACTGTTTTTTCTTTTTTTGCTAGTAAATTATATTAAATTAGTAATCAATATATATATTTCAATTAGTGCTTTGAGCCTACGAATAGTTTAATCCAGCTTTGCTAGTATTTATACATCTTTTTGTTTATTCTAATATGTATAGATTCTAGTCAGGTATTAAAATGACTTGAAACACAATAACTATTGTAATTAATTTATGAAGTCAAGTATTTTCAAAGTTGATCTATCTTTTAATATAACTTTAAACCAACACTAACAGAGTATTAGTTTGGAGTTAAATACAGTGATAAATAGACATTAAAAATTACAATAAATTAAAATGTATGACTACTCGGCCTTTTCTTTTAGAACAAATAAATAGAAAAGGGTAATTCTTACTATTATATCTAAATATAGTCCAGGGAAAATTATTAACTTTCAAAAAAATATTGCTTTGAAAATAAATAAAATTAACTATTTTCAGAATGAACTTTATTAAAAAAAACGAAAATGCCAAGTTTACTTAAATCAGTAACACTATTAATTAAAAAAATTATCGTTTTACTTACCAAATACTATAACATGTTTATAAAATTAACAAATTAGGATAGATTCATTACTGTAAAATAGTTATTATAATCACTGAAGAAATAAATGTTTTAAAAGTCTATTGAGGAGGAATTAAAAACAATTTTTATTGATATCAAATGGTTTAAATTATTTTGTAGACAGGGATAAGAGCTGATATGGTTTTTGGCGGGCATAGATTACAGATATCGTCGAATATATGCAAATACTACATCCCAGAAATGTTTATACATATTAATGTATGTATATATCTTTAGTTTGTAGAATAAACTATATGACTGTATTCATAAAGTCTATATTTGTACTTATATTGTGTTTACATTAAGATTAAAAATTAGATTGTAAACTGTTTTAAATCAGCCGTGTTTACAAGTGAGACAGAACATTTTTATATTTTTTAGGCCAGCCATTTCTTACGCTTTATAAAACTTTTTACTATTACAAATTTTATTATCACCAACTTTCTATAATGTAATCAATGTTTGGACGTTCGTTATCAAGCCTTATTGTGATGAGAACATAGATCTTGTAAACATGTTTATGTTTTTAACACGCTTATATTAGTTTCACCTGTATGTATGTATGTTTGTAACTCTCCAAGCGTTATCGCAATTTCCGTCGTCTATGGCCTTGAGACTAGACTGTCATAACGCATTCACCCCACCTCACGCCTCGCTAACTACACGACGGCAACACTATTCCTGTATACATTTATATTTGGTTATTGTTCCCGTACACACGTGCGTATCATCAATATTATATATATATAAACAAATTTTTATTTTGACTGACCATTATCATCCGCGTGCATACGGCTTACATATATATTCCTACCGCCGTTTATACCTCAGGTATAACGTTAGTCCGACCCGCCCGCCAACAAAACACGACTATACCTAGTGCATGATACGTTTACGTACTTAAGTCGCATTATTTGTATATATATATATACATATATATATATATTCTAATTACTATTAAAATTTATATATTAACACGCTTTATTCTAATTAAGAGATATAAAGTATTCATTCCGATTACTAGTGATGATTTCCGTATCGTCATTTTTGGTCACTACCTTCACCTTCCGGGAGTGAGTAATTTTCATAAATTTAACCCTTTACCAGCCCACAGGGGGAGATTTAATATGACAACTTTATTGGTGTATTATTCCAAAAGCTACATGATCTGCTAGTTCCTTATTAATATCTCGATTAAGATAAAGTATGTCGAACAAAAAAGGGATTATTAAAAAATATTATTTCTCAGAAAATAATTTTGTGGATCCATACACTTTTCAATAAGTTATAGCATTATAAAGTTAAAAATGTAAAAAATGAAATCGAGAATTTTCACACAGTAATAGAATTTGGTAGCCATTTTCACCATGAAGACAAGTCCAGAAGTAAAATTTTTTTTTTTTTTAAATTAAAGTATATTACATTAGCATTAATTTAAGATATATATAAAAGTGTCAGACCTTCCGGAACATTTTCAAAAGTTAAGTTGTAAAATTTAATTTTTTGTGAAAAAGTTGTCTTTTTAAGTCCCCCCCTGTGGGAGGATAAAGGGTCAAATTTACAAAAAAAATATACCAAATGATAAGTAAAGACATCAAGCATCTATATAAAAAAAAATTATATTGATATGTTGATTTTTGAAAAAGTTACGGCACATTTTAGTAAAAAAAATTGAAAAAATTTCAAAAATTAGCGATTTTTAAATTTGTAATTTTTTTGGAGGTTTCCCCCATTTACGGGGAACGGGTGAATTTTTTTCAATTTTTAAGGGTAATGTCTTCGACTTGATACGATTTGTAATCTTTTGACGTATCGTTGAAAGAAATCTGTTCGGTGAGAGCTAAGAAAAAGTGGTAACAGACACAAAAAAAAAAAAAACCCAGCACAGGGGGGTCGCGGCACAGTGGTGACGTGGTATAGATGGATCAAGTATAATGATATCTGACAGTGATTAAAATCACTATCAAAAAAAAACGCTTCGATGCAAATCATTAGATAGTGTTTAATTTTAAAAAATTGGTGGACTATTCCAAAAGCTACATTATCTGCTAGTTCATTATTAATATCCTAATTAAGATAAAGTATGTAGAATGAAAAAGGGATTATTAAAAAATATTATTTCTCATAAAAAAATAATGTTGATCCATACACTTTTCAATATGTCATAGCATTATAAAGTTAAAAATGTAAAAAATAAAATCGAGAATTTTCACACAATAATAGCATTCGGTAGCCATTTTCACCGTGAAGATAAAATAAAGTCCGAAATTTTTTTTTCGCATAATAAAGTAAATTACATTGGCATTAATTTAAGATATATATAAAAGTGTCAGACCTTCCGGAACATTTTCAAAAGTTA